GCGCACCGCCTCCCACACCGCCTCCCGCACCGCGGCACACCGACCCCTAGGGGGAGGAATGCACCGGCACCGCACCGGCACCGCGCCGCACCGCACCGGCACCGCACCGCACCGGCACCGCCGTCGGCATTGCACCGCACCGGCACCGCTCCGGGACCTGCACTGGCACCGCACCGCACCGGTACCGGGACCGGCCTCGGCATTGCACCGCACTGCACCGCACCGGCACCGCACTGCACCGACAGCAGCACCGCACTGGCACCAGCACCGCACCGGCACCAGCACCGCACCAGCACCGGCACTGGCACCAGCACCGGCACTGGTGCACCGCACCAGCACTGGTGCTCTCCAGCACGCCATGGCACTGGGAGTCCCTCCGCACCGCACTGGCACCAGTGTGCCCCAGCATGCCACGGCACTGGGAGTCCCTCCACACTGCACTGCACCGCACCGCACCGCACTGGGGCTCCCCAGCACACCATGGCACTGGGAGTCCCTCTGCACCTCACTGGCACCAGTGTGCCCCAGCACACCCATGGCACTGGGAGTCCCTCTGTACCGCACCACCACTGGGGCTCCCCAGCACGCCACGGCACTGGGAGTCCCTCCGCACCGGTACTGGGGCTCCCCAGCACGGCACAGACCAGCACCAGGGGTCTCGGCTGCTCCCAGGGACCCTCCGTGTGCCCCGGCTGGGAGATGCCCCAGGGTCTCCCCCAGGCGCAGAGCCCCCCCGGCCCGGGCTCTCCTGCTGCAGGCCCCCCCCGGCCCGGCCTCTCCTGCTGGGCTGTTCCCCCCAGCCGGGTGCAGGGAGCCCCCCAAACCTGCCCCTGCACCCCCACCCCTGCACCCACCCACCCACGCCCAGCAGCCATGCTGCACCCCGCTGCCCGCCCGGCCTCCTGCACCCCAGCCTCACTGCACCCCATGTGCCGGCACCGCCCGCATGCCATCCGGAGCCGAACACGTTACCGGCACGACTTGCCACAAGCCATAACCAATGACAGCCGTCACCGCGCTTCCCCTGCCCCTTTCCTCCATGAATTGCGATCAACCCGGGCACTAAAAATAACCGCGCTCGGCTGCTGGGCAGGGCTGTGCCCGGCCGCTGTGGTTTTCCCTTTATTTGCTCCAAAAATTCCGCCTGGGAGGCTGCGAGCGGCTGCCACAGCACTGCCAGGAGGGCGAAGGCCAAGCCGTGCTGCTCGGTGCGAGCATGGCATCGCGGCACGCTCCGGCCTCACTGCCTCGGGTGCAGGGGAGCAGCCCACCTGGTGCCAGGGTGCCACGGTCACGGGGTGATGGCCACCGTGGGGACACGGACCGGGCGAAGGGGACACCCACCAGGCCGCCCGGCAGCCTGTGGTGTTGCCATCACCAGCGGTGCTGGGACCTGCCTCCGCGGTGGCCCCAGCACAGGGCATGGAGGTCCTGCTCGCTGGGGGACCGTGGCACCCATGGGTACCGTGCGGTGCCCAAGGCTGGGTCTGGGCTCTTTTTGCCACCGTGGCAGCCGGTCTGTGCCATCTCCTGGTGGTGGGGACCCTGCTCTGTGGCCCCCAGCAGCCCCCGAGGCAGCGGGGATGGGCCCTGGGCCATGCCTGGGCTTAGCTCTTGGCCCCAGCAGCCCCCAGGCAGCGGGGATGGCCCCAGGCTGTGGCTAGTGTCAGGGCAAGCAGCGGCGGAGGGAAGCAGCATGGGCTGGGGACAGTGGCCCCAAAAGCCGCCGGGCTGGCCCGCGGGGCGCCCGTCCCACATCCGGGAGCGGCGTGCCAGGAGCTCTGCATGCCGGGCACACCTTCCCCTGCCTGCACCGGTCCCTCGCTGCCTGCACCGGCCTGCGGTGCCACCGGCCTCCCGATGACACCTCTCGGCACCCCCAACTCTGGTGGCACTGGGTGGCAGCCACCCCCCTGCCCTGTGTCCCCCCTGGGTCACTCCCCGGCAGCCCCCAAGGGGTAAAGCAGGAGGCACGGAGCTCCTACCAGCGCGGCTGGGAGCAAACCAGGGGTGACAGTGGTGGTGACGAGGACCTGGCGGTGCTGGTGACAAGGACCTGGCGGGCTCG